ACAATGTCCTGAGCTTGGAGGGGGGCTGTGTTATAGATGTCCTATTTGAATATGGGCACTTCACAATCATTATTCTATGTACTTTGGCCTACTTTAAGTAACAACCCAAAATATAGTTAGCTGCTTTCAACCATATAAAAACAAGATGACAAAATATAAAACCTATATTTAATAAATAATACCTTAATAGTTTAACCTACTGAGAAATAACCCAGACACCCGACAAATATCTATTACTTCACCTCATGTCAATGATTTAAGTTCCCAGAAAGCCTTCTGGAATATGAAGTGCTCACTTATAAATATTCGTGTCATTTGTATTTACCCAATTTACTCATTTTAATGGTTAAATTTGAATTGTTTTGGAAAACAATGCTGATCTTATCTGTTAAATGTCATCTTATTTTTTTCTTTTAAAATAGCAAAATCAAGCTAAAACTCCATCAACCAGTCTTATTCTAGGCTTTTGAGAAGACAGACATAGATACCTACTGAGTATTCAACACTTTCCAGTTATCCTGGGTCTCAGGTCCTCAGATGGTATCTAGGATGGATATAAATGAAGGGGCTTGGCTAGATCTTTGACTCATAAACCAGGTGATAAACCCAGGACTAGGCACAAGAAGCTGTGGTAAGATGCCTAAAGTAACCAACCCAACAGTTTCCAGTATGGGCAGGAAAGAGGCTATTCTACTTGGAAAAGGAGGAGGAGGAGGCCATACCAGGCCTCACTCACCTGGTCTAGGTACTACAGAAACACCCATGACCCCAGATCCCAGAGGTTCGCAACCAAATACACATAATTCAAGGACTAAGGAAGCCCCGTGGCTGGTCCCAAAGTCTCAGCTCATTGGCAAATCAAGCAAATATCAAAAGCATAAATGGAGCCAGACATGATTGTGTATGCCTGTAATCCCTGGATTTGGGATGTGGACACTGGAGGATCACAAGTTCAAAGCAAGCATTATATAGTAAACTGCCCTGGTGAGCAGGGCACAATGAAGGTTGAGCCTATGGGAACCCAGAATGACTGAACAAGAGACACCACAAAGAACAGACAGCAAGACAGGCTTTCTGAAAAAGCCGTGAGATTTTATTTTTCTCAGGCCCGTTATATAGTGGTTAGGGTGGGGAAACTAGGTAGAATGGAGTAATCAAAGGAGAGGGGTCGTTGCCTAGTAACCAGGCCACAGAAGGTGAGCAGATAGCAGGTGCTGGCAAGGTGAAAGGGTCGCAGAAGGAGGGGTTAAGTGATCTAATTGTGGATGTTTCCTTTTTTACCATCAGCTATTCCTGTGAGCCCAAGTTCTATTCATTAGGAAGCTGGGGAGGGGAAGAGGGCTGATTGGGACTGAAGGTAGCTATTCTTTTAACACAATGGACTATTCTTTTAAAAAGGCTGGCAATATTTACAAGAGGTCCTAAATAAAAATGATCGCTCCCAACAGTAAATTCCAAGCCAGCCTGGACTATAAGGAGACCCCATTTAACAAGGATCAAATTCGAACATCACAGAGGTAAAGAGACTAAATCCAACAATCAGACACAAATCACTCTCCTCTCATTTTACTCTCAGGGATGACATGCATGGAGGAATTCGTTCTCATACATTTCTCTCCTCTGCTAAGCCCTCATCTTTCTAGCCCTGATAATATCTATGGCATAGTAAAGCTTGTTTAACTAGTGAATCTAATTTATAAGTCTGTAATAAATAACTAGATTCAAACGCTTTCTTTTTTCCTTAAGTCAGTTAAACAGAGCTCTGAGGCTGCTTGAATGAGAAATGTTCTCCACGGGCTCAGGTACTTGGACATGGTCACCAGATGGTGGCACCGTTTGGGAAGTGGTACGGCACTTGCCGGAGGCAGTATGTCACTTGGGGTGGGCTTTGAGAGTTCATAGTCTTACCCTACTTCCAGTTCACCGTCTGTTTTGTGTTTGCTCTTCAAGATATGAACCCTTCAGCTTCCTGCTACTGCAGCCAGACTTCCCCGCCATGCTGGACTCTCGTTCCTCTGGAACCACAGGCCAAAATAAACTCTCCCTTCTGTAAGTTGCTTTGCTCATAGTGTTTTATCACGGCAACAGAAAGGTGACTCATGGAAGCTCCTTCATATATTTTTGTAGACTCACGCATACACACCCCATGCAGACAAGTGCAGAGCTGATGGTTCTCCTTAACATCCTTGGTTTGCCAGGTTTTAACATTTGTCATATTCCTTCGTGTTGAGGTGAAACAGAGGCTAGAACGTGAAGTCTCTGCGGGGTCTGAGGAGGCCACGGTTAGCATTTCCTTCAGCAAGTGCACTTATTTACTGCTAGTCTCCGTCTCATCCAGTCAGGCATTAGAAGCCTGTAATTGGATCCAGTCCAATTGTTCATGGGCCTCAATGCATCTTGGAAGCACTCCAGTTTCTGCAAGGGCTTCCAATGGTCAACAATCGCTTCACAGTGCATTGGAGCACCAGACTCACAAGTCAAAAGACAGAAGCCAAAAAGATTTGGTGCTCAAAGCAAACAGCACCAATGCCAAGATGGAACCAAGTCTGTAAGACAGAGGGACCCCCAAAGGGGTCAACAGAGCCTCTCCTGCATCCCTCAAGGACTCTAGGGAGTTCTCACCACTGTCCTTTTGGCCCCTCGTCCTGTCTAACAGCTCTGACGTTGTTAGAAAACTACAACAAACATGATTTTGTAGCTCTTGGTGTGACTTGCAATCCTGGATAGAAAAGTGCAGGTTGCTGTGCCCCACCACTCCCAGCACGTGACATTTGCAGCCAAGGAGAAGACAGCTATGTGCAGAAAATGGAAGAGAGGTCTAGAGCCTGACTGGCTACAGCTCACGCCTACCCTATCTTGGCCACTTAAAAGTTGGCTGAGATGCAGCAAAACATTCTAAGGACGGATTATGAAGAAGATTACAGTTCCCAGTTCATCATAAGTGGAGAGACCCTTAGGCACATCTTTGAATGTTATGAAGGCAGCTTTAGTCAAACCCATAAGTCTCTGTAGCCTCACCCTACTTCCAGTTCACTGTCTCTGCTTTGTGTGGCGGCCACCACTTTGAAGGTGGTGTCATGGATCTAAGCAAAGGACTGCCAGAATGGTGGAGAGTGCTTGGGATGTCACTGTGTCCCCACGCCAGGCGTCCACAGCCCAGCCTCAGTTCCCAGCATTCAGCAAATCCAGACAAGCTCAGACTCACTGGCTCACCATGCTGGAGCTTCTCTGACCACCCAAAGCTGCAGAGCCCCCTTGTTCCTGAACTCAGCAGCACAGGTCGATGTCTCCAAAGTCACCCCTGCCTCATAGAACCTTGATGCTACAACCTGCAGCCTGCTGACACAGTCTGCTAACACAGCCCTTGGGCTTATTGTCTCCGTGCCCTGTCTCCTGCTACCCAAGTAGATTGTCTTCATACAAGTCTTTCTCGGGCTCTGCCTTCTGGAAAATCCAGTTAATACAAAAATATTATATATCATACAAACACCCAGCGAGATATAAAAGAAACGTGGGGCCTCCAAATACTAATTTTTCATTATTGCAAGCACCAACAGATTCCCTTGTCTGCAATAGCTCTTAAGGTACATAGACATGTTAGCTGACATTGACCATTATGAAGCAAGGATAAGCAGGCACCAGCTTCTGCAACTTAGTTCAACTGTATGCAAATGTTTGCAAACGCAGCATTTCCTTGTGGGTCTTGGCTGTGGGGCAAATATGCCTTCCCTCAGAACACAGCTGTTATTATAGCAGAATCCACCAGGCTGTGATTGTAACACTCTGAGCTGCTGTGGACTTCTCCAGACCACCGAGCCTGCTAAGAGAAGCCCCGAGCAGCCAGCTAAGCTTCAAAAATCCATTCATTCACTGAAAAGAGTGAACATTCTTGAAAACACTCACTTGTCTTCTAGAGATGCAAGTCCTTATTGGTAAGGGAAAGATGACTAAAGAACTCCCAACTTCAGGAGCTGGGGCCCGGACAGGGAAGGGGCAAGCACTAGAGAGCCACAGCGAAACAGAGAGAACTTTTATCGGAATCTGGAAGATGAATGATGACACCATCTTTTGTTGTCATGAGAATGGTACTTTCCTGTGGACATGCTGGGTTTTCTCTCCAGAACGTAAGGGCAAACATTCCACTGTCCTTAGACTTCAGCAATGGACTCACTGATCCAACACAATATCAGATGTACATTTCTTCATTTTATTTATTCATCTCTCATGAAATACATCCCGACCACACTATCCCCTCCCAGCCCCCATCTCCACTCCCCAGATCCACTGATCCTCCCTTTCCCTTCAGAAAAGCACAGGCCTCCCAGGGATATCAACCAAACGTGGCATAGCAAGACGCAATGAGACCGAGCTTTATCGAACTATAATTAAAGACACGTTGAGTCAAAGGAGTGTTTCTCCCTTAGTTAAAGTGCCAATCCATTCCTGAATCAATGTGTCCTGATTATTCCCCTACAGAGAAGATGCTGCCTGTGCAGGAATGAGTGCAGCACAGGAACCCGTCCCCACAATGTGTCCTAAAACTACCGCCATTTCCTGCACACTTCTCAGCGCTAGGCATGGCTGCGGTGACTGGCATTAATAAGCCTAAGACTTCCAACTTCTAGTAAAGAATCATATTTTAAAAAATGGAAAATGTCTAGAAACCATTATTTAATTTTTCAGTGTCTAAAACTTTAGACTTTTCTTTTTTCTTTCCTTTTTCTGGCAAAATAGAATTCTAAGTATGTTAAGTATGTTGCTGTGAATTTAATGTGCCAATATTCCTACTCAAATGGCATTTCTGCTTTGATATGATAATATATGAAGCCAAATTCTTTCTATCAACTTAAAAAAATCATTTGCAAACCTATTTCAGGGGCATGAACTGGCTTTTTGGAGCCCATTCCCTATGGAGGGATACCTTCCTCAGCCTTGATACAGCAGGGGAGGAGCTTGGTCCTGTCCAACCTGGTATGCCAGACTTTGTTGACTCCCCAAGGAAGGCCTTACCCCCTCTGGGGAGTCGACAAGGGGGAAGAAGGAGAAGGAGGAGGGGAAGGATGGGAAACTGGGGTCAGTCTGTAAAATAAAAAAATAATTTTTAAATAAAAAATAAAATCATTTGAAGCCTTCCTCTAAACCTTGAATTGGGTTTTCTATGTTCCCGACAGTGAAGTCAGATTCGAGATCTTCGGATCTGAAACATGTGTGCCATCTTCAAGTCAAGATGCTGGGAGGGCAGTAGCTGGGTGCCTTCACTCTTCTAAAAGATTCTGACGGTCTTGAGCCCCAACGGATGTCATGTTCTTTGTCTGTATTCAATTCGACAGTTCCCTTCTGGCTGGGGGACACCCACCAGATGAAGACAACTCTAAAAACAGAAATGTAGAAAAGGTAGAGAAACTAAGAGACAGAAACCAACAGCATCAGTCCCGCCTTCCCTGGTTGGGATTTCTAAAAGGTGCAAGGGGAAGGCTACAAGGGTGTGAAATTCACATTGCCGAGTTTCCGTTGAAGGAGCAGAGAAGAGAAGGACAGCTGTTTTAGTAACCTCTGAGCTTCGCATACACTCCCCTGGGCCTACAGGCCTGCCTGCTGCCTACCCTTCTCTTTTGCAGGCAGACGGGGATGCTATAAATATTCAAGGCTCTTTCTACATCCCTGGCTCAAAAGGCATGACACCTCGTGTAGGAAACAGACAGCCGAATGTGCCACTTTTTGTTCTGACAATGTGGCAGTGATATGGATATCTGGCATGAGTCAGTTAAAACATGGCTGACACCAGATATCAAAGGGACTGAGTCAGCAAACGACACCTGGCAGTAGATGCCTGGGGAACCCAAAAGGAAAACGGGGATGTAATGACATGACTGTTGCTGACAGAATGCCACTTTTGTGTGGGTCTACAGAGGCATGACCTTGAGGTTGGAGATGAGTGCCTTGTCTTCCTCTTCTGTGATGGTTTGGGTGAGAAAAGTCCTCCCTAGTCTCAGTATTGGAACACATGATCCCCAGTTAGCCCAGCTCCTGACACACCAGGAAGTGTGTCATGGGGGGGGGCGGACTCTGAGACCGAAAAGCTTGTCCTACTTCGAGGTTGTTCTTCCTGCTTCCTGCTTGTGGTTCAAGATGTAACTCTCAGCTTATTATTCCTGCTATCTGCTGCCTGCTGCCACATCTCCAAGTCATCATGGACCCTTATCCTCCCAGAACCATAAGCCCAACATAGTGTTTTATCACAACAGAAGAAAAGCAACTAACACACCTTCCTACCTACACGGTATGTGGGAGTCTGCTTGTATGCCTGTGCCTACCTGTGTGTGGCCTTTGCAAGTTGGCCCGTGTGCTGGCAATTACGTCTTATGTGTACATGATTCCTTACATCCTCTCCAGCCTCCCAGCCCTCTATAACCTCCCCTTTTCCTGACTCTGGAGCTTGGACCGCACACCCATTTATACTCAGTCACTGAGTGAAAACTGGCACCTGTAACAAGTGCTTGTAAACTACTTGCAGCTGGTAGACAGACCACAGCCACACTGTTATTATGACCAGAACTTGTGGATTTTTTTCCTTATGAAAGAGGAATGTTTGAATTTGCAGGGTAAAGGGGGTGGTGTCATTGTACTGCTAAAACCACAGAAAGAATCCTAAGGTTTATAGACATAAAAGGCTCTGTCAGCCTTGAGCTTTGGGGGACAATGAACAGTGAGGAAGGAGGAGGGGGACACAATTTAGGTAATCAGTCCTTTTATTTTCAAGTGTGAACACAACAGTACACAGGATGGTGGATTCCTTAGCTCCACTGATAGAATGGATTGTATAGTTCCCATGAGCCCACTGAAGTTGAACCCATAGTTATACATAAAGATGGATGCACTTCTCTAGCGAGAGATGCAAAAAATTTTGTTTCCTAAGATGCTGGGAGGCACTGTTGGTCTGAGGTTGCAGTCTACCTGGGCTAACAGCTCTCTCCAAGCGTGGCAACATGGATGACTCTCTTCCCCATGGCAGAAGGCACCCTGCTTTTTACCTGACCTTATTTGAAGACTGTCTAGGCCCAGATGCCTGACTTATCTCTAGTGTGACCCTGGACACAGTTCCCTGCAAAAGCTGTCCCCCTGCTGCCTATATGGTAATTAGACTTTGTGCTAGGAGGATTACGATAGGGCCAAGCTTTCACAGATATTAACGAAGATTAGTACTAGGAGTTTAATATAGGAGTGTGCTGTTTAATGTAAATTAGGTGATCCCCGAACTGCCGTCCCCAATCCTATACATTTCCTACACCCTGGAATAAAGCTGAGCTAATTCACTGAAGTTATCTCCTGGAGGGCTATCTTCATTGTACTCACAGGTTGGATAAGGCCCTGCTTGCCACTTATGCCCCATTTGCCCCTTGGGCCAATGGCCAATGGGCTGTGGGGGAAGAGAAGACCGGCATTAAGTATCTGTACCCTAAAAATATTACAATGGAACAAAATCACCTGAATCAGTGAAATTTGTGCCTGACATTGAAGTTGTCTCATGGTTAGATGCCAAGCTGCCAACATCGGGCCACTGGTGTAGCTTAAATAAAGCTTTGTTGTATTTCCTTGTTATTTGGTTCATAAGGAGAGAGAAATGAAATTATATTTATTTCTTAAAAAAGGAAATATGTGGTCTTGGGTCATAAGATTGGGAGAACTGACCCTGCACCTTGCCTGGACAGCACAGTAGAGCTGACCCTGTTGGTAGGGGTAACAGGTGAGCTGGCCCTGAGGATGTGAGAGCAGGAGAGCTGACCACACCCCCCCGCCCCAATCTGCCATTTGGTGGCATGGGTGAGGGAAAGATGCCCTTCCTCCCACCCTGGTCCCTTGCCACCTGTGGCAGGCAGGAGAGTAGGAGAGCTGGCCCTGCCTCTCACCAAGGGCAGCACTCAGGAGGAGGAGTCCTGTTCCTCTCCCAGTAAAACGGTAGAGCTGGCCCTGGTGGTGTGAGTGCAGGTGAACTGGCCCTGAGGGCTTGAGAGCAGGCGAGCTGATTCCATTCCTTGCTGCCTGCTGCTTTGGGCAATGCTAGAAAACTCTCCCTACTGGTGAGGGAGAGCTGTCAGGTTGACCAACCCAGATAACACCTAGGCCCAGAACCAGGGCAATGAGTTGGCCCATACCAACAACAACCTCATCTGTGAACTGCTTGGGCATGTGAAGGGACGGGACCTGCAGTTCCAAAGCTGCAGGATCTTCATGACACAAGGCAATAATAGGATATCCAAGAGGAGTCTCAATGATGGCCCAGTATTGATGGTGTAGCAGAAGCCAGAGGCCTGGAGCCAGACCGATGACTCATTGCAATGAAAACTTACAAGTAAAGATGTATGCACTAAAGGGTATATATACTGTGTGTCTCTGTCACACTGCAGTTTCTACACTGAGACTTTCCTGTTGTTGTTGTGTGTTAGTTTGGTTGTTTTGGCTTTGGTATTTGTGTTTTTTCTTTTCCATTTTATTTTGTCTGTGGGGGGAGGGTACAAGGATGGAGGACAGAGGGCTGGAGAGATGGCTCAGAGGTTAAGAGCACTGACTGCTCTTCCAGAGGTCCTGCGTTCAATTCCCAGCAAGCACATGGTGGCTCACAACCGTCTGTAATGAGATCTGGTGCCCTCTTCTGGCCTGCATGGACACATGGAAGCAGGATGTTGTATTCATAATAAATTTAATCTTTAAAAAAAAAGGATGGAGGGCAAATATGAAGGGTCAGGGACATGGATGGGATCGGAATGTATTATGTGAAACCCAAAAAGAAGGAAAGGGAGTGGAAAGGGGGTAAGAAACAGAGGTAGTAGGTGACTATAAGAAAACCCTACTTTCTAGACACAATGGGGCTGTTGAATACAGGAACTGACAGTGGTTGTGTATACAAGATCTCTGCAAGCTCAGGACAGACAAAACCCTAGCATGGAGGTGGGGGTGAGTATAAAGTTCCACCTTGAGCTGAGAAGCTACTAGTAATTGATAGTTGCTGCCAGAAGACAGTTCTCTTCAAGGGCGTGACCCCTGGGTAGGTCTAATATGCTTCAGGAATGACCACACACCCAAAGGTATATAGGCAGCACTAACTGAACTCTATGAGTTTGAAAAAGAAATAAAGACACCAAGTTGGGCCAGTAAAGAATGGAGTATAGATCTAGATGATGAGGGAATAGGATGAATTTGATCAAAATACAATGTATGAGATTCTCCAAGAATTGATAAAATTAAAAAAAAACTAGGAAAAAGAGAAATGGGAAAGAAACCAATGGGAAGTGCCTAAGCATATATATCTGTAATGTATTTTCCAAGCTGCTTACACGCTTATATATTTTCCATCAAAAGAACACAAGGAGTTACTCCTCACACATTAAACACAAGTGGACTTAGTGAATAGCGCTGATGTGACTTCAGATACTCATCTGTTTAAACATCATCGTTCATCCAGTCTCCACATTTGGACTTTTCCTCACTCCTTACAGCAGTGGTCTTTAAAGTGTGGTACCCATGCTACCAGCAGTAACAGGCACACCTGTAACTTGTTAGAGATGCAAACATAGAGTTCTTTCCCAGAACTATTGGATTAGGAGACCTACTGGGGAGACCAAAAATCTGTGTTCTGCAAAGCCTCAAGAATCCAGGACTCTGAGGCTCATGTCTGTTCAGGAGCCCCTGTGCCTACATAGAGTTAAGTGAGGACGGCCTTGACGGTGAGGGAGGGAAGACAGCTCAACCTTTTCCTTTATGCTATCTTTACGGGGTGGAGGGGTTGGTTTCCTTGCATCGGTCACCTTCTGAATGAACCAAGGGCTATGACAACATCCAATACAAAGAGTTCATTTATACACCTACACAAGACCTCTCTCTATGGAGACAAGGTCAGATTTAAGGGATTCATTCACCACATGGCTCTATTAAAGGCCACATATTTGAAGTTTCTATCAAATCTGAAGTCATGATAATGTTTGAAACTCCAAAGGCACTTACCTGTTTTGGCAATGGGTCCAGAAGACTGCAATCATACTTATAAAGCACTAAAATAACACATATCTGGATCTCTAACAGAGCAAACCACCTGAAGGAAAAACATATGACAATTACTTGTCTCCAAAAGATGCACGAATACCTAACTCTTTCTTAATACCACATGTTCCACTGAGTGGTTGGGATGGCTCAGTTGCTTTAGAAGATATAGAAAATGCTTAGGAGAACACAATAAATGAAAATGTATGTTTTTTAAGGTGCATTTTGTCTTTGTGTATGTAGGTATGTCTGTGTATGTATCTGCATGACCGTGTGTGTGCGCACATGCACAAGAGTGCGTGTGCCCTCAGAGCCCAGAAGATAAACAGGAATATTCACATACGTATACACAAAAGTCAATCAAAATTTTACATTGTGTCTTAGCTAAAGGAAAAGATATGAAAATACGATTCACCCAAATTTAATTTAAATATTTTGACATTCTAGTAGAATTTTCTCAAGTGCCCACTGAAGGTAAATTTTTTGGCAATGGCAAAATAGAAGGTTTAGGCATTGTGTTTTCTTCCATGGCTCATGCTAGAATCTGGCCATCTGTGGCACTGAGTATTTTTTTTCAGAGTTCTTCAGAAGCCAGTTGAGCTATGTTCATGCTAAGAATGTTTTCCCAACACTCCCAATGTCAAAACAGTGAAAATAATGAGGTGTGTTACTTATAACAAACTTGGTTTTTACACTTAAAAGAACAAGAATGCACATCTAGAGAGAAAACTCATTAAAATACAACCATGTTGGAAATTCCTTAAATACTTAGCCCTCGTGGCTCTTTCCCAAGTGTAAATACTTGTCTGGACACAGCTGCAGGGGCTTTGGGAAAAATGAGGGCCCGCAAACCCAGCACTGCCAAAACTGAACCGGGTGAGCCTGGAAACCCAACAGCCAGGGCAAGGGGCCGGAAGGTGCTGCTGCAGAGATCTGGGGTCTGGATAAAGCTCCGACCTGCATATCCCTGAAGGCTAACCTTGAGCTAGACCTTCAGGAAGGATGGGCTTTAAATAAGTAGCCACACTGTGACTGAGACTGAAAGCCTTTGGGGGCCAGTACCAACAGCGGGGAGCAGGGGAGCCTGGAGCCGAGCCGGCAGGATAGCCCTTGAGGGAGGGAATTCAGGGGGCTTACATAGGTACAGCTTGGGTCAGATTACAGAGGACAGGAGTCCTGACGGATAAGGGTTTGGTGGGCAGCACCAGTGTCAGGCTCCTAACCAGAGTGGCATCCACAGACTGACTCCAGAAGAGTTCATCAGTGCATACTAAGGATGGATGAAGGAAGACAGTGAGTGCGAGCCAGACAATAAGCTATCGCCCAAGGAACCTGTTCCACAGGAGAGAATGCAGGTGCCGGAGTGGGGGTGGGGTGGGTAAAAGACAACCCCAACCACCAGGTGTCTTGGAGGACAGCAATGTATGTCAAAGAAACAGAATGCTTAAGGGGTGCTAGGATTGGGGGAGGGATTACCGATTTCCAACGTGGAGGTTTTGATTTTGAGTGAACTTTTATTGTTGCTGTTGTTTTGGTTGCTTTTGGTTTTAAGTCCAAGAGGGCCTAGAACCCCAAAGTAATCCCAGGCTGTCCCTGGACTTCCTCAGTGTGCTGAGTACTTGGATTACAGGTGTGTACCACCACACTTGGCTTCTCTCTGACTTTTGAAGAGGGAAACCTCTCTTTTCTCCTCTTAGAAGTCATTGCAGACAGTGCCAGCAAGGGTTGGGAAGCTGTCCCCGTTGCCAGGAGCTGGGCAGTGTATTCCCGGTTGCTACCAGCTGCAGCTCATGAAAATAGAACGCTCTTGCCCTGGAATTCAGAGATGGCAGCAGGCAGGTGTAGTTACAGAGACATCATGCATTGAAGCATTGCTATTCAAGTTAAAGAAGAGGTGTTGCCCCACAGTCTCATCCTCTTAAGAACCCTTGGAGGAAGATGAACATCAAGCATGCCGTGGGAGGCAAAAAATAACCCAGACTCCATGGTTCTCCACCTTCGGCGTCTGCCACAAAGCCCTGGGAGAGCTGGGAAGGCAGAACTCACTGCACATTTCCATCTGGGTCTCTGACGCCAGAGGTCTGGGACAAGACACAAGATCTGTGTTTCTAGGTAGTACTTCCCCTCAGGTGTTGTGACGCCCACAACTTGAAAATTAGTAATATAGTGGAATTTAGTGATGAGAAGGGGGGAATGCATGCTGGGAGGTGTAAATTTATCATTCCTCTTAATTTTAGTGCCCAATGTTCAAATTACAAAGAATAGTTCAGTGAATAGGTGAAATGGCCTGGCTGAGACACCAGACTTTTGACTGGGGTTAACAGTAAGCGTAAATGGGAAGCTGAAAGGTAGGTGCTTATGCTGAGTGATGAAAATCAAATGGAAGGAGATATGGTGTGGTAAGAACGGTGTGGAGTAAGGTGGGTGAGAGACGGTACAGAGGGCAAGAGGACTTGACGTTCTTTCTGAGGACTGGAGTTTGATCGGCACTGAATGTGCCTTGGCTCATTGAGCTATCTTGCTGACCCTAATCTTCTGTCCTTTCCCTCTCCCTTTGCCTCTCCCTCTCCCTGCTGCCTCTCAGATGCCAGAGTTAAAGGCATGTACTACCATGTCCAGCCCACCCCCAAGGAATGCTGTTAATTGCAATTTTGGCATTTTGTTGAGATTTATTTTTAAGAATGTGGTTTTTAAAAAATCATTTTTATTCTTTATGTAGAGACGTTTCTGTTTTGACTGAATGTATGTCTGCATACATGTGTTCAAGTAGCAGCTGAGGTCAGAAGAAGGCATAGGATCCTCTGGAACTAGAATTGTTAGCTACCACCTGGGTGTTCTTCAAGAGTAACAGGTGCTCTTAATCTCTGAGCCATCACTCCAGATTTCTACATCAATTATTCATAAGAAATGTTGCTCTATCTGTTGTTTTCTTTGTAGTGTTTCTGTGTGGAGTTGAGTGTGGTAGTACTGACCTCATCAAATAAACTAGGCAATTCCCTTGCCATGTTTTGAACAAGCTGGAGAAGGGTTCAAATTACTTAATGATGTGCCTGAAGGCTTTGGGTAAAGGAAAACAACACCTAAAAACAGTAGATGGGAGAGATATTCAAAATCAGGAAGGCAAAATTAATAAAAATGAAATCAAAAACATAAATAATCAATTAGATGAAGAGTTGGGTCTTTAAAAAGATTAACAAATCTTTTGCAAAATTAAAGAGAAAAGACCAAAATTAATAAAATCTGAAATGAAAAGTGAGACATTACAATAGACACTGAGAAAATTCAGGAAATCATAAGAACAAACTTTGTTCACAAAATAACATTAAGTACTTACAATATACAAAATGAAAAGCATAAAATTAATACACCAAAACAGTGGTGGGTATTGAGAGATGGTGCATATTACTGGGTAGGTATTTTTCTTCTTTCTACTTATCTATAGTCATGACTGCTCTAATAGCTGACAAAAATTCATTTTAGATGTAAAAATGAGTTCATGACATTTTGCAAAAAGGGAAAAGATATTAATACTGCTCTCCAATTTTGAAGGAAAAAAAGTTATATGTTACTAAACTGGAAAAGCTAAAAGAAACCAATTTCTAAATTACATGACCTATGAAAGTTAATCAAGATTAAATAAATAACTTAACCAGACACATAAAAACCAGTAATATAATAGTAGCTAAAAATCTCCCAACCAACAAGAGCCAAGTGCTCAATTACACATACACTGCAATTGCATACTCGGACCCACAGTGGCTGGAACTGAATGCCAACACTTGAACATGATCAAGTCAGACAAAATCCCAGCCAGAGTACTAGGAGACTCATGAAGTCCCATCCCTGTGAGAAGCTATTGTTAATTGACGGCTGCTGGGAAAGGGAGAGTAGAGTCCATTTTCTTCAGGGATATTATCCTTGAATTCCCATGCTCCAGTTAGATGGACCAATGCCCAGGCTCATACAGGCAGCACTACATAGACTAGTATTTTTTCAAATGGGAGGGAGGGAGGAGGGAAGAAGGAAGGAAGGAAGGAAGGAAGGAAGGAAGGAAGGAAGGAAGGAAGGAAGGAAAGGAAGGAAGGAAGAGGGGTCGTTGATGGAAGGAGGGAGAAGGGAAAATACATAGCTGGGAGGGAGAAGAGGTGGGGGTAGAAGAGAAACTGGAGGGAATGAGGGGTGGATTTGAACAAACACATTATAAGCAAGTGTGACTGTTAAGTAAGATATTTTAAAACAAACAACCACAACATAAAATGGCAGATACTGTCAGTTTCTGTGTCTATGTGCCTCTTGACTCACCTCCGAGAGGAAATGCGCATTCTCAGTAGAACCCTAGTAACTAACTTCCGTGCTTTAAACGCCTGTCATCACCAAACAAACTAACTGTTATGGGAAAGAAAAGATGGATCTGGGTTTGAATGAACTGATTCACTGAGGGAGCAGCAGACCTACATCAGTAGAGCTGGGTGGAGTCAGAGCCACAGAACACCATGGCCCTCCAGGTGAAAATTAAGATTACCAGGACAGACAAAGGAATAAGGTCATGGAAGCCAGTGGCCACTGGCAGATACTGGGGCTTCATACACTCCAGTTCCAGCCCTATTTTCTGAGGAATGAAATCCTCTCTCTGGTTTTATTGAGACAGGGTCTCATGTGACTCAGGCTGGTCTCGAACTCCTCATCTTCCTCCTGCCATCTCCCAAGTGCAGGGACTACAGACATGTACCACCATGCCTGTCTCTGGAAGAGATGGAAATAACTAAAGAGCGGACCGTAGCTGTGCTGGATAATGTGCGACATTCACAGGAAGGGGTTTGGAGAAGAGAGCATACCCCACTAGAAGTGTCTCCTTCCTCTCCATAGACAACTATGCTATCCCAGAATCCTGTGCACCACAAAGGACTTGGGTCAGAAGGAAAAAAAAGACTCTTTGAAATTTTTGCCTGGAAAAGAACATGTTCTGTTTTGGAAGCATCCTCACCTAAGTGCTAGACGTCACTCTGTGCTGCTGTCAGTTCTCAACAGACTTAAATCTTAGCCTCATAATGA